GTGATGTGGCCCGCGTGACTCTCGCCTGGTGCACCCAATGGCCTGCGCTGTGACTGAGTCTGACACCCCTGCTCTAGCGCATTGCCAGTCTTCCTTCCCCTGGCCCCCTCCCTCCTCCGTAGTCTCCAAAGTCCGTTCCTCTGGCGTGAAAGTCTTTCCCTGGGTCTTTTAATATTTCTTCCCCTCCGATCAGCGGTCTCCTCTTTGTCATTTGGTGATTGTCTCACTTCAGTTGGCAAGCTAGCCACCAGATCCACCCAGGTCACGAGGTGCCTCGTGGTTGCATCACTACTTTTAGGGACTCCCAGTATCCCGTGTGCGTATGCACTCAGGACCAGTGTCTCTAGATCCAGCAAGAAAGAAGGCTTGTGGCTCTGGCAGGCAGAGGCCCCAGCAGTCACCCTAAATCAACACTGAGAACAAAAAAATACAACGATGAGGCAGACGCTGACAGACTCAGATGAGCAAATTTACCTGAGTATACAGATGCCTGCAAGTATACAAAGTGTCCTTTATTGATCTGTCTGGAATTTGTAAATGAAAAGTAGCAGCCTGGGTGAATCATTGGGCTACTAACAAGGTAGGTGGTTCAAACCCACCAGCCACTCCGAAAAAGGCAGAGGTTGTGCCCGTAGAGATTTACAGTCATCGCCTAGGGTTGCTGTGAGTCAGAACTGGCGCAACGGCAGTCAGTTTGGTTGAAGCAGGACTTAAGGGGTCTTAGTGGCACAGTGGTTAAAGCACTTTCTGACATGACACTTGGGTTCCATAAAGACTTGCAGTCTTACGGCTGCTATTGATGCAGTTGGTCTTACAGTGTTGTGATTTTGTCATATTACAACTGAACTGTGCAAACTTCACGGGAAACAGCTGATGGATTCTGGGCTCCTACTTAACTCTAGCCCCAATTCAAGAACAGTTAGTTCTGATAACATGGCCCTGCTCAATGCTCACCTTTAGGAAATGATCACTGAAGGTAGGGTGCTACAGCAAAGCGTGCTGAAGAGAGTAGAAGGTGCTCGGCTACCGATCAGAATAGTGTCTGGGATCAAGCAATCAGCCATCTAAGCGCAGAGACAACCAAGTCCACATGGAAGAAGCACACCACCTTGTGATCCAAAAATGACAATTACAAAATATGAATCTTGCAAAGGGGAAAGAATCAGAGCTAAAATTATGAACACCCAATTTGTAGAAGCCTATGGAGAACAGTGGGAGTCCCAAACCCATCTACAAAGCGTCTGGTCAGACTGAGCCGCTGGCAAAGGCACTCTAGACACACACAAGTCTGGAAGAGCCTGACTATCAGGCAGAGACCATTGTGGTCTTGACTATGCTGGGCGGAACCCCATGCTTGGACAGTTGACCTCTCCATAGACTCGACCTACGTTTGTTCTGGGTGCAAGTATCTCTTACTTATTCCATAACAGAAATTTCTTCCCTGGCTTTTTGAGTGTTGACGGGGGTCTTTTCGTTCTTATTATTTGTATTTTGTCTTTATGTTATTATTGTTTAGTCTGTACCATCTTATTTCGATTTTGTTTTTTATTGTTTCTGTTTGGTCTCCCAGTTTGTGAAGCACAGGAGGAGGGGATGCATAGTGATAATAGCTGATACAAGGGTTTATAGGGGATGTCAGGGAGGGAGGACAGGGAGGGAAAGGGGATTTAGGCAGTAAACAATGAAGGTGGGAGGAGGGAGGGGCTGTGATTGCACAATCCATCTTAAAAGCGATTTAACCATGAAGTGGGGTGGTGGCGAGGAATGTTCTAAATTGATATAGTCATGATTGCACAATTTTGATATGATTGAACTATGAATTGTATGATATATAAATTATGTGTCAATAAAACTGTTGTGGGGGAAAAAAGACTTAGTCTTATAACCTGGATGGGGAAGTTCTCTTCTATCCTATAGGGTTGCTATCAACCAAAATCCATTGGATGGCAATGGGCTTGGGTTGGGTATTTGTTTATTTTCTAGCTTTTTATGGTGTTGATGGTTTAGAAAGCAAATCAGTTTTCTATTCCACGCATCATACACATGTTGATTGCACCATGTGAGACACCATGTACCATCACCCATCTCACTTTCTTCCCATTTCCCTTGTCCATTCCAGCTCCTTCCCTAAGCCTTCTGAATGTGGTCCTAGGGTAAATGCTGCCCTTTTCATCCCAAATGAGTGATTATTCTAAAGAGTATACACCTCCCTAGTCTAACTGTTCCCCTTGAAGACCTCTTGTTTGACTAAACATTGAGCCACAGGGATGAGTTCATTTAAAATCTGATGGGGCTGAGGGCCATAGTCTTGGGGGTTCCACCAGGCTCTGATCAGAAAGCCTGGCCTTATTTATAATTTGGGGGTGTGTTCCACATGTGTATCCCACTCTATCGAAGACCTTTTCAATGTGATCCATTTCAGACCAGTTCTTCTGGTCTCAGGGTTGGGGAGGCTGATGTTCAAAGTGGTTCCATAGTCCGCTGGACTTACTTTTTCCCATTTGTCTTCCATTGTCTGCACTCTTCTTTCCTGCACACAGGAAGACATCAAAAGGTGCACCTTAGATGGCTGCTCACAGGGTGTAAGACCCCAGTCACTCCTCATCAAAGCAGGAGGGAGAGTTATGATCTTGGTGTCTCCCAAAATTATGGTGCTGAGTCTCCAGTCCAGTGGCTCATTCCCTCAATGTGTTTGACTGTATCTAAGAAGTTCTCATGATTCTACCCCCTGTATGCGCCACTACATTCATAGATCTGTTTACAGCAAATACATAGATAACCATATCCTCTGTCAAACCTCTATATATTCATGGGTACAGCACCATTCTCTCTTTCAGACCCATTTAAGACCCACCTGAGTGTCTTATAGGCTCAGTATTGCAGGATTGTGTATGTAATATTTACCGCTGTTGCCTTCAACTCTGGCACTACTTCCAGTGTCTTCCCCTTTCTCCGTTTGTTTTTTGTTGTTGTTGTTGTTGTTGTTGCTAAAAATGACTCATTGTATGTTATCTTCTCCTTCATCTCTAGTCAGTAACTTCACTGTCCCTTCCCCTCTGCCCCGGGGAACAATCAGTGAGTATTTCATTTAGTGTGAAAATCTTTCCCTGACTTTTGACAATCGTGTACTTTTGTGATGGACTTTTTTTCACTCGACATAATGTCCTGTAGGTTCCTGTTATGAGGTGTTTCAAGGGCTCCTACATTTTATAGTATCCCATTGGGTGTATGTATCACAGTTTCATGCTGATGGGCATTTACAGTGTTTCCATATTTTTGCTATTATGAATAGTGCTTCGAGGACCGTCAGTGTAAGGAATGGGATTCTTTGAAAGTGATGACATATTATGCAGGTTGGAAGATCTAAAGGCTAGGGAACCCTAAGGTTTCCATGAATGTTACAGAATACAGATATTATGGACTCTGACGATCGGGATGGGTGTCGACTGCCTACAAAATGTGTTGGGCCCAGCACAAAACAAAAATGCGGGCAATTTTTAAATACTAGCATTAAGAACTTAAAAGACGTGAGAGCAATGCATTAAACCAAGTGACCAAGCTCAGGCCCCAGGAGGCTGCCCTTCTAGTCTACCGGTCTAGGAGCTAGGAGGTGTCGCCCAGAGGACAGAAAATACCCTTACCTTTCCAGGGCAAGTCAACCTAAAAAGACAGGCCCCCCACAAGCTAGGGGCCCCCGCCCCAACCCCGCCATAGTGGGTCTGGGCGAAGGGAAGTTCGCAGCAAGTTTAAGGGAGTGCAAGCAGGAGACTGATGTGTCGCTCAAACTCGAACTTTGTGCTAGGGCACAGTAAGGTCACTTGCCCCGGCCCTCCCCCGCCCCAGCCTGGGCAAGGATCCCAAGACGTGGCAACTCCTGGCACTGGACTCGGCTGGGTTACCAATCAGCCCGGAGTGGGCGGCGGCGCGCGTGCACAAGACGGACTTGCGTCCGGGGGCGGGGCGCGCCCTGCAAGGACACACAATCTAGGGAAGGTCTGCAAATCGTAAAGTACAAAGCGGGCGACGAAGAGCACACGCGGAACCGGAAAGACCCAGAGGCCGAAGGGTGAGTTAGGGAGCGTCGGCAAATGAGAGGGGCCAGAGTTCGTCTAAAAAGTTGCCTGGAGACAAGGGACCGTCTAGCAAGGGCCGTCCCCACAAAAACAAGCCTTCCCGAAGTTAACCTTGGGGAGGATGGAGAGGCCTGGAGTCCACCCTGTAAAGCAGATAAAACCCCGGGGAATAATGTCCGTACATAGGGCAGCGCTAACTGAAGCCGGAGCCTGTTAAAAGAGAAAAAGGCTCAAGGGAGGCTTGGGGGCTGTCTGAAATGTACGAAGTTTATAGGGACCTTAGGGACCGGCACCAAATTGTATCCCTCACTAATCACCAACCACCCACGGTTTCTTGTATTAAGACCCGCCTCTCCGCTGTTAGGTCTGAACCGGTTCCCGAATTCGGATAGCAGCCGGTTTTCCTTTTTACCCTCCCCTGCCATCCGTAGCACACGTCCCTCCTTTATCTTGTACTTTCTTCTTCCCTCAGCCCCCTCAAACGCATTTTCCCGCCCACCTGTCAATCACCTCGCTCCTCCGTCCAGTCAGCGGGCCAGGTGGGCGGGACCGCCTGGAGCGTCGGGTGACGTAGCGCCCCGCTGGCCGGAAAGCCGGGAGTTGCGTGACGAAGAGGCGCGTGACGGAGCAGCGGTTGGCGATGCTACGGCGACAGTCGGTGTAAACGGTCTCGCGCTGCCGCGTCCTGCGACCATTCCTGGCTGGTGGGTGGTTTAGCGCGGGGCACCAACCGCCGGCTTCGCGGGAGGCGTTTCCCGGCTTCCGCCTAGGCTCTGTGGTGTCCACGCCCCTGGGACCCCACGTGGGCGTCAGGCAAGGGGGGGGGGGGTGGTAGGCCGAATTCGAACCTCATTGGCTGTCCCTAATGCTGGCTCTTTCAAGAGAGCGCTCTGATTGGTCGATAAGGGAGGCGTCGGGGGTCCCTGAGTCCTAAGGCTCTTGATTGGCTAGATGAGATAAGCTTGTGAGACACTTACTTCCGAAAGAGGTTTGATTGGTGGGCCAGGGAGGTTACCCGAGACTCCACCTTCCCCAGGGACTTTGATAGGTGAGTTTAGGATAGAAAGCAGAAATTGTTCCTCAAAGGGTTTTTAACTGACCAGTCAGTGCACTTTCTTTCCTTCACAGGATTAAGGAAGGTTTGTGTACCTAAAGCCTTTGGAATTGTTAACTGGCTAACAAAGGGCTCTTAGTCCCTAGGCCGGGGTCACTCTCCTAGAGCTAGCCACCGCCCCCTCTCAGGGGATCCTGATATTTCTAGAACAGGTTTTGCTTTCCCTAAACCCAAGCAGTTGACAGGAAGAGTCCCTGCACAGGTCCTAAGGATGCTGTGAGCAGAAGATGGGATCACGGAACAGCAACAGTGCAGGATCCGGGTCCGGAAACCCCTCTGAGGGCTTGCCCCGCAGAGGGGCTGGCCTGCGACAGAGTGAGGAAGAGGAGGATGAAGATGTGGATCTGGCCCAGGTACTGGCCTATCTCCTCCGCAGGTAACTTACCTTCTGGTGTGGTCCCATCAGGCGCCACCAACAGTTCCTTGATCGAACCACCAGGCAGGGAAGTTACTGTGGATTGGCAACAGTTAGCCCCAAACAGTTGTTCTACGTGAGCAAAAGAGTCTCTCCGTACTGGACACCTGTCTGTCTCAGTCAGCCAGTGCTCCTGTAACAGAAATGGCCCAAGTTTATTTTCTCCCAGGTTAGGGGGTGGTGGGTGCGTGGGTGGGGGTTAAAAGGTCAAATTCACAATGCCAACTCTAGGGAAAGGCTCTTTGTCCGCTCTGGAGGGAGGACCCTGTCTGTTCAGCTTCTGCTTCAGGTTCTTAGGAGATTCCCATGAGTCTGCCACCTTCATGTTTGTATGTGTAGCTTTTAGATCTCGAAAAAGATTCACTCAAGATAATACCTGCTACCTCACTCACTTAACAAAGACAGCCTATTCCCAAATACAGTGCAGGCGTAGAGGTTAGGATTGACAGCACACATTTTGGGGATATAACATTCCATCCTTTGCACCCCCAAATTCATGACCTTGCCACATGCAAAACACATTCACCCTATCACATCATCCAAAAGGTCTTAAATTTGCTCCAAGTCCAAAATCGTCGATAAGTGTTCTCAATCAAATCTGAGTGAGACTTTAGGTGTATTCTGTGCTAGAACTAAATCCCTCCTCATTGTGGAATCTAGAATACAAATTATCTGTTTCCAGAGTACCGTGGTGGAACAGGCTCAGGGTAGACATTTTTATTACAAATAGGAGAAATTGGGGGGTGAGGAGAAGCACTAAGCATGTCAAAAACCTAGCAGAAAAAATTATATTAGCTCTGAAGACTTGAGAATAATCCTTTCTTCTCTGAAACAGCCCAGACAGTGTCCCCCACCCTCTGAATTTTAGTGATGGTCCTTCAGCCCTGGGCTTCAGCTCTGCATTTTAGACTCTCTGGGACAGCAATCCACTCTCTTAGGTTTAGATAGCCCATTCTCCTGCTCCATCTAAGTAACCACCAGGTTCCCTCAGCCTCTGTAAGCCCCATTCTTCTGTCCTGGGCCGGGCAGCTCTTCTCTGTTTTAGCCAGCGGGCCCCCTCCCTATGACAGTCCATAATGGCGGTCCCACACTCCCCACCACGTTGGCAAAATCCTAACCAGGAGACCTTGGCCCCACCATCTGAACCAGAGAAGGCTTGCTGTTCTCCTCCCACCACTTCTGCTTATCTCTCAGCTGCTTCAGGGATGGTCCTTTTCTTGGTGGACATCAGACAAGAGACAAGCAGTGTTCTCTCCCGTCCTTTTCCTCCCCCTTCAAGCTGGAGAGTTTTCTGCTGTGGTAGTTCCCAGTCCCATCAGTCGCAAGCTTATTCTTTTTTAACAGAAGATTGTGTAGAGCCATCCTGGGTGCGGATTCTAGGACACGTGTGCTTAGTTTGTACTACAAAGTTTCAAGTTCAGTTTTCATTTGGCAGTGCTTATTTGGGAGACCATCTCTTTCCTCGCCTTTGCTATATGTAATTGGCAAAGAATAACCATGGAGCCGCTTAAGATCTTGCTTAGAAATTTCATCAGTCAGCTATCCAACATTATCACTTAAAAATTCTACTTTCCACCCAACCTTTGAACCTAATTCACACAAGTTCTTCACCACTTAAAATCATAAAAATCATTTTCCTTCCTTCATTGTCCAGAGAAACATGTTCGTCTTTGTTGTTGTTGTTTAAAGCCTCATCAGAAACATTTATCATCCACATTCCTAGCAACATTTTGTTCCTGGCACAGTATGTGCTCTGAGGTGATAAAGACTCTGTAGCTCTCTTCAGTTCCTTCTGAGCCCTCACCAGAATTGCTTTTGACAATCCTAAGTCTACCAGTAGGCTTGTCACGACATTTACTAGATAAGGAGGAAGTGGAGAAGTGAGGCTATATTGAAGGGGTTGCAATGGATATGTTGAAACAAAATGTGTATAAATTGTGGAATGTAAAACTGGTGGTCTGCTCTGTAAACTATCACCTAATTCCTGATAGAAAGTTAAAGAAAAAAAAAATCATCCAGCCTCTCCCAATTACCCAATTCCAAAGCTTCTTCCACAGTTTGGGTATCTGTCTGAGCAACACCCCACTTTTCCACTACCAAATTCTGTCTTGGTTATCTAGTCCTGCTATAGCAGAACTACCACAAGTGAGTGGCTTCAACAAGTTTATGTTTTCACGGGTTGGAAGACTGTTGTTAGGTGCAGTTAGTCCCTCTGGCTCAGCAGCCCCGTTAGGCACTGCCTGCTATCGCTCCACCCTCACAGCCCGTGTTTGAGCACATTGTTGCAGCTCTGCCTCAGCCCATCTCATGAGGACTGACTCGCTTGCTTTAGCAAACATAATAGCCTGTCCCAGGGTCTGCACTCCCTCTCTTGATGACACTTCCAAAGTAGGTGAGACGACGTCATGCCATCTCGCTTCTAAGGAGCATTCTGGCAGTACCCCCTCTGAGACAGATTTGTTTGTCCTTCTGGTAGCCCATTATACTTCTCGGTATGCTTTGCCAATGCCATAATTCAAATGGAGTCTCCTATGGGCTTCCATAATCATTGTCCAGCTTCCCCCTGCATAATGAGGCGATCGAGAACACATGGCTTGGGTCAGGCACATCTTAGTCTCAAAGTAACCTCTTGGTGCAGGTTTGCCAAATCCGGTATGTTGGTTTGATATCTTGATTGCTGCTGTCATGAGGAGTGTTGATCCAAGCAAATGGAACCCTTGCCAGCCTCTGTCCTCTCTGTTTATCATGATGTCTCCTGGTCCAGTTATGAAGATTTCTGCTCTGAAGTGTAATGCAACCTCTGAGCTTCATTAGTAAGGGCTTCAAGTCCTCCTTACTTTCAGCAAGCAAAGTTGTGTCATCAGTATATCATGGGTTGTTAATGGGCTGTAGTCTTCATATAGTCCAGCTCCTCTGATTATTTGTTTAGCACAGATTGAGTATGGTGAAAGGAGGCAACCTTAATGCACACCTCTTCTGATTTTAAACCATGTGTATCTCTTATTCCAAACATCCTACTGCCCAGGAAGTGTTCTGCAATCCTACGGGTCAAAGGAGCCTGGAAGTTCACATTCAAGTGCCAGCCTAAGGGATGCCTTTGCCATCACCTCTAGAGGATGCTCCGGGCCTCTTTGGCTTCTGTTGGCCAGTTCCTTGGAGGTCTTCATCTTTCTTGGCATCTACCTTAGCCCACTTCTCTCTTGCTTGTTTGCTTGTTGGCTTTTAACTCTCTTTCTTTCTTTCTTTTTTTAGCTTTTATCTCTTATATTTCAAAAGAGTGAAGCAAGATACCTCCTATACTCTTCTTGGCTCATTAACATAACCAAGGAAGACATCCCATTCCCCTGTGGGATTTTAACCACTGGCTTAGAGGTTAGAATTTACAGCACAGATTTTGAGGGTGAGAGTGAAGCCCATAAGAGCATCCATGAGTCTCCATCTGTATCCACTGAGAATGGTTGCCTTCCTGTGGCAGGCCACGCAGAGAACCCACTCTTGTGTTTGCGGGGTCTTCTCTGGTTATGACTATGCCAGTGTGATCGGTTTTCTAAATACGCAAGTATAAAAAAAGGGCCCTGGTGGGAGCGAATTAAAGTGGTAAATGAGAAGAGTTGAACTTTAGTAAAGCCATTGACACGTGATAGGAGATCCTGTGGGCTTACTTGAAAAACGAGTTTTAAGTTGACCTGCCATTAATACTGTTCTTGAGGACAGAATGGCTTGAAAGAAGTCACCGCAAAGAGCTGACAGGGAAAGGGTGCAACCGCCTGTTTCTTAGGGTCCGATGAGCTTGGGGCCCCTCAGAATGCCAAGTTCTGCACTGGGGCCCTCAGGCAAAAGCTTGGAGAAAAAGCTCTCACAACTTTTGGTTCTCTGGACCCATCAGCCTCCACGGTGTGGATCCCTGCTCGGAGAGCAAGAATCCATTTCCCACTGTGTCCTCCAGGTGACTGAAAAGTACAGTCAAAGTCTAGGCAGCCGCAAACCCCCAAATTGGGGCTGTAGGAGAGCTTGAGTACCAAGTGATCTAAGAACTGGATGGCTGGTTGGTTTGGGGAGAGGGGTTCCCCCTTTATCATGGGCGGCGGGGGGTCTCTCCACAGAGGCCAAGTGAGGTTGATGCAGGGTGGAAGTGCAGCAAATTTACAACTCATCCAGGCCCTCTCTGACTCGGAGGACGAACCTGACAGTTTCTGGAATGGTCACCTGGGGGCCCGATGCAACCCACCCGGTAAGGAAAAAAAAGTACGATCCTAAAATTGGGAGATTAATTTGAAGGCACTTTTTTTTGGCGGGCGTCGGGGGTGAGGAACCGTGAGTTAAGTTCAAAGAAGAACATAGAATGAGGGAGTCCTTGCTGTCCCCAATATATAAAGCCACCTTGGGTTGGGACCCACCTTCCCACATTTTGGGTACAGTTGTATCAAGTGTCTTCTGGGGCTAGAAAAGACGGGCTCAAACTTCTTCTTAGTGATCACATTGGATGTAAACCCTGACACCCGGGAGCTGGAATGCAATGAGATCAAGACACAAGTGGAATTGGCCACGGGACGACTGGGACTTAGGCGGGCAGCCCCGGAGCTCAGCTTTCCTCGGATGCTGCACCAGGTAGGCCCCTCCCCCTCGAGCCACCCCCAGCCAAGGGGCGAAAACCCGCCAAGGAAAGGTGCAGTGCCTGAGCCAGGCAGCCCTTGGTCACCTGCATCAGAGTTCTGGGAGACGGACTTCCTCTGTGTGGGGGGCTAGGGGAGCCTTTCTGTAGCAAGAGCAGTAGATTGGGAGAGGGCCTCCAGTGTTGCCCACTTCCTTCCCTCTAGAGAGAACGCGGCCTCTGCCACCAGGGAAGCTTCTCTCTCGGAGAGCAGTCTCGAGTGATGTCGCAGTGAGTATGCGGCTTGGTGCAGAACCTCTAAGGGCCGGACAGGTGTTACCACCCAAACATGGAACAGGCAGGGCTGAAAGGACCCTCAGACAGCTGCATCCAGCGGGGTTGCAGCATCCACCAGAAGGAACGCGCAGAGAGGAAGTTCAGAGGATGGTGGAGTGGGTGAAGGAAAGGCGGTTTGCGTGGAGCCAGAGGGGAAAGGAACCTGCTAGTGACGTCCCAGCCAGCCCTGTGAGAATTCTACTAACGGGGCACCCTACTGTACCTCACATTTCCATGCCTTCTGCTTCCCAGCTTTTTCCCCAACTATTTGGGCTTCACTGATACCTACACTCAGAAGGTTTTCTGTGGCATTTACAGCAAAGATGGTCAGATCTTCATGTCTGCTTGCCAAGGTACCTACCCATCCCTGGGAAAGGAAGTGGAAGCACCCCCCACCCGCCCCCCACTGACTGAGCTAGAAAGGGCCAGACCCTGGCTGTGGGGTACATAACCATAGCCTGCGTCCCATACGAGAAAGATCCCACACGCCACATGGTCAGAGAGATCACCCAAGGAGAGTGTTCCTTAATTCTGCCTGATGCCCACTTACACAGACCAGACAATCCGCCTGTACGACTGCCGGTATGGCCGCTTCCACAAATTCAAGAGCATCAAGGCCCGGGATGTAGGCTGGAGCATTCTGGATGTGGCCTTCACGCCTGATGGGAACCACTTCCTCTACTCCAGCTGGTCTGACTACAGTGAGTACACATCAGACTTCCGTGGTCATCTGAGCCTGAGGTCTTCAAACTCCCCTCTCCTCTGAACCAGAACACCACACCCCCTCCTGGGGGACGATTCCCAGGGTGCTCTGACATCCTTGTCTTCCCTATGAATGCTCCCACTCCCCTGCCCCCAGCCCTAAACAGCTTATGTTTCTCATCTCTTAGTTCACATCTGCAGCATCTACGGGGAGGGAGACACACACACCGCCCTGGATCTAAGGTACTGGCTTCCCTCCCTGGTTAGACTCCTCAGAAACGGTTGAAAGAAGGCTCTCCAGGAGCAAACCTCTCGAACGGGAGTTCCAGCTTAGAGGGAAAAGTCCACTAGCTTCAAATTTCACTTTGAAATCCTGGGAGGGACTCACCAGGCATGCCCACCAGGGAACCGGGTAAAGGAGATGGTGCGGGTAATTCTGAGTTCTCACTGAAGTGGCCCACCTTCCAGCATGAGTTAGCAGCGCTTCTCTCTCCCCTTCGAAGTGTTCCTTACGACCCTCGTCAGACCCCACGTAGATTCCTAAAGCTGAAGGGCAGCCTGCTTACTCAGCTCGTTCTTGGCCCTCTTCAGGCCGGATGATCGTAGCTTTGCTGTCTTCTCCATTGCCGTCTCCTCGGATGGACGGGAAGTGCTCGGAGGGTGAGTACTGGCAGGGCGTGACTCCCTGAATGAGTGAAATGAATAGGAGTCTCCCAGGATCGGCTCCCCTGTTACAGACAGGGCGCTCTGCAGCATCTGCGAAGGACAGCGAGCCCTGCTTCAGATCCGGACTTTCCGGAGCATACCTGGCATCACTCCCCATGGCCCTGACCTCAAGACCTTCCTTATCCTCTCCCCTTCAGGGCCAACGACGGCTGCCTCTATGTCTTTGACCGAGAACAGAACCGACGTACCCTTCAGGTATTGCTCCTGAGACTTAGAGCTCCGCTTCCTGGGTACAGCCTGCTAGAAGGCCCGGAAAGAGGTCCTAGGTGTCCCGCCCTCCTCCTCCCCTAGATTGAGTCCCATGAGGATGATGTGAATGCGGTGGCCTTTGCCGACATTAGCTCCCAGATCCTGTTCTCTGGGGGAGATGATGCTATCTGCAAAGTGTGGGATCGACGCACCATGCGAGAAGATGACCCCAAGCCTGTGGGCGCACTGGCCGGACACCAGGACGGCATCACCTTCATTGACAGCAAGGTGGGCAGGGGAGGCAGGACTTGGCGCAGCCCAGCTACGTATCCAGTTTCCATTTGTCATGGGGATGGGAGTGGGGGTGAAAACAGACCGGCCCGGGAACTTGCCGATCTCTTCCCAAGCCAAGGCTTACAAGAGCTCTAGTGCAGGGAAGGGGCTTATGTCAGGAAACATGAGATCCGTGGAGCCCCACCAGGCCTCAAGGAACAGGGCAGGGCTGGAGCCAAGTAGAAGAGACCTTAATGCAGATGCAGCATAGAAGGACCACCAGGGGCCGGGCCAGGGACAGGTCTGAGGCAGAGAGCCCAAGGTGAGTTCACCTGGAAGAAGACAGCAGAAAGGAAAGGACTGATGTTCCTAATTCCTCAGTTAGAGGAGGGAGCCGACTGCCAGGCGCCGTCGTTCAAACGCTCTGGTGGGTGCTTCATTATGCATCTTTGGATTCTCAGGGCGATGCCCGGTATCTCATCTCCAACTCCAAAGACCAGACTATCAAGCTCTGGGACATCCGGCGCTTTTCCAGCCGGGAAGGCATGGAAGCCTCTCGCCAAGCTGCCACACAACAAAACTGGGACTACCGCTGGCAGCAGGTGCCCCAAAGAGGTGAGAGTGGCAGGGAGAATCAGATCTGGAGAGTTGCGAGTTGGGGCGGCAGTTCCAGGATGCAGTAAGGCTTGGTTGGTGTAGGCACCGGGGTGAGGCTGCAGTTGGAGCCAAGTTCTGGAGGGCCCCCACCCCCATTCTGCTTGACCAAGCATCAACCCTTTATTGCTGGGACAGTGGGTGGAGGCGGGACCGGGGGAGGGGGCGTGGCATCGGAAGTAAGGCTTTCCAAACAGCAAGTTTGGTTTGTTGACGTTGCTGCAATTGGCTGCCATTGAGTTAGCCCCAGCTCATTGGGACCCTATCCACAGTGGAAGTAAATGTCACCTCATCGTGCACCACCCCGCGCGCGTGCGACTGTTGCAGGTCAGACTGTTGTAATCCCTAGGGGTTCCTTTGGCTGGTTTTTGGAAGTAGATCCGCAGGCGTTTCTTCCAAGTCTATCTTAGTCCAGAAGCAATGCCAAAGCCTGCTAAGTATCATAGCAACACACAAGCTTCTACTCACAGGCGGAGCTGGTGACTGTGCATAACATATGTTGGCCGGGACAGAAACCGAATCTGGTTCTGCCCCTCGGAAGGCAAGAATCCCACCACCGAACCGCCAGTGCCCCTGTTGGGTAGAAGGAGGGCAAACCACCAGTGGAGAGTTGAACAGGCGACTGGCTCTGAGCATCGAGCGGTGGTATGGAGGCATGCGGGAGCAGACTCCCTAACCTCAGCCTCTCCCTGCATCCTCACCCAGTCTGGCAGAAGCTGAAGCTGCCAGGAGACAGTTCGCTGATGACCTACCGGGGCCACGGGGTGCTGCACACCCTCATCCGCTGCCGGTTCTCCCCCGCTCACAGCACCGGGCAGCAGTTCATCTACAGCGGCTGCTCCACTGGCAGAGTGGTTGGTAAGGATTGTATTGGAACCTGGGGCCTCAGGAAGGCAGGCTGTTTCCCTGGTCCGCCCCCTGTGTCCACCTTGAAAAAGCCCAGTGGCAGCTGCAGGCGAAATTTACTGCAGGCTGGAGCAGGGGAGGTTTAAACGGAGAAATAGAAAACATTCTAAACTAAGAAAAGGAACATAGGTTTCTAGTCAGTCAGTATACTACATTACCCAGAACACACTCCATTTGACAGCCAGTCAAGGGAGAGGTGTTACGGGTGAAGGGAGAAGGGAACAGAGAAGACACCAGCACATAGTAAAGGACAGACAGGCAGACACAAAAATGCACACAAACCCACCGACAAGCACTGTGCTGCTGAGCCAAAGACAAAGCCCTCAGATGAGACTCATGCCGAGGAAGAGGAATTCACACCCCTTCCAGGTACAGCTCAGTCAGCTCTCACGTTGGCCCACTGTTTACAATTGACTGTCTGGCCTTCCAAAGCGGGTGGAGTTTTTAGCAAATTCTGCTAAAAGCACTATTACATGTTGTAAACTCTTGTGTGCTGTTGCGTCTGTTTCTCCTTCCGGGGCCCCACAGAACCATGTAGAACTGCCCTATAGGGGTCCTCAGGCTTTTCTAACAACTTTTTTCTAACAGCCTTCTGCTATGGAGCGGCTGGTGGATTTGAACCGCCGACCTTCTGGATAGCAGTTGATTGGTTAAACACTGCACCACCAGAGCCTCTCTCTAAACCGTAGACCCTGTGAAATGTAGTGAAGGACCAAGATACCTCCCTTCCACTAGCCACCCCACAACCCAAGCTTGGAAAAGGACCAGGGAAAAGAAACTCAAGAAATGAGTGTTTTCTGGCCTGGGCTTTGCTCCCCCAGGAAAGAAAATTGCTTGAGAGGCCAGTGAGCACTGCTGTTGAGGGAGAGGAGAGGGGAGGGTGGCCTGGAGGTCCTCTGCCGGCCCTGCTCCACTCTGCTTTCTCCCGGACAGTATACGACCTGCTCACCGGCCGCGTAGTGAAGAAGCTCACCCACCACAAGGCCTGCGTGCGCGACATCAGCTGGCACCCCTTTGAGGAGAAGATCGTCAGCAGTTCGGTGAGGCTGCGAGGGTGAGGGTGAGGGGAGCCTGGTTAGGGCCCGGGATGGGGCAGCACCCCATTGACTGCTTACCCCCTTCTACCCTGCAGTGGGACAGGAACCTGCGTCTGTGGCAGTACCGCCAAGCTGAGTACTTTGAGGATGACATGCCAGAGTCCAGAGAAGGCCCCCGGGCCCCTCCGCCAGCACCCCCCCCCTCCATGGCCTCTTCCTCTCCTCAGTAGAGCTGACCTCCAGCCTCCTGTGTGGGTGAGCCTCTTGACAAGCTCTCTGCCTCCTCCTCCCCCCTTTCTCCCTTCTGGGGGATATTTGGAGGAACTGCTGGTATTGGACTGGGAGAAACAAGCCCAGGCTTCTGGGCTCACCGCTGAGCCCTGGTGGGGTCCGCCCCTCAGGACAGAGTGGCCTCTTCTCACGCCAAGCGCGCACATGCACACACATGCGCACACGCACACGTACACACACACACACACACACACACACACACACATTGGTTTGGGTCCCTATCTCTGGCCAGGCTCTGGCAGGACTGCCAGCCCAGATGTTTTGAATCCTGTGTGGATGCTAGGTGTTGGCTCATAGAGTAGTATGCCTGAGGCCAGAAGTGGCATGACCATTCAATGCCCTCAAGTTGAGGATTAGACTGGCCAGTCACGTGACTGGGCATCCTGGCCTCTGTTCCTGCGGCGGTCTTGATGGCTAGAATTCTAGCCCTTTGGTGGGGAAGGGGGTTTTCTCAGCACCTTCCTGGGGTGGCAGTGATGTCTTCGCTCCCCTGTCTGGGTCTTTGAGGTGGGATAGGCAGGGCCATGAAAGGCAGGAGCTTCCAAAAGCTCCGTGAGGCCTGCCCCAGTGCAGGCCTCCTCACCCGGGGCCCCGCCCTGCAGGAGGCAGCAGCTTCAAGGAGGAAGGTTGAGGTAGGGCTCCTTGGTCCGCTCACTGGCTTTGGCCCCCTCAATAAACTCCCTGTGGGAACCTGTCTCGGCGTCTCTGTCACACTCTGTATTCAGCTTGACTTTAAGAAACAGTTCTTTTTTTTTTTTTTTTTTCTTTTTTAACATTTT